CCGGGGGAGCCCCGTTCCCGGCGGTGGCACCGGCGGGGGGACGCTCGGGGCCAGGGGGGTGTCCCCGGAGCAGAGCGTGGCAGGAGAGCCCAGGGCCGAGGGCTGCACGTGGGGGCTCCCCGTGGAAGTTTCTTGTGGGCGGGCTGGACTCTCTCCCCCTTAGGCCTGGCTCTGTCAACCGTCTCCTGCTCTGAAGCCTCGATTTTGCCTTCCCAGGAGAGCGTTTGTTGTTAAAGGTGGAAAGCGGCCACATAAGCACTAAAACCTGGGCACCACAGGTGGCTAAAAACGCTTCCCTCAGACAGGCTCTGCACCTCATGCCCGCAGCACCATGGCCACTCACAGAGTGCCCACCTGCACTTCTCATTTTAGGAAATATCTCTTTTTAAAAACCACTCATCACATATCTCCTCAATGTGACCACTCCACTTGCTGTGCCCTGCTCCTCGCACGTGCGTCCTGGGTCATTTCTAGGCACACACACACCAGGCCTGTGGCCACCTGTTCGTTATTTACTCAGTTCCCAAATTGGCAGCAGCTGAATGACTTGATGGGGCAAACCTGGGCCCTGACTTGAGAGGAGCCCTGAGGAGCCTTCGTTACATCATTTTCAAACCTAACTGCATGATTTGGACCCTAACTTTCATTTTCTAGCATGAGGCCTGGGAACTCCTACAGGCTTAAAAAGCAGCCTTTGAAAAATGGCTGTTAAAAACCTCCTAATTTCTCCAGGGCTAAGCCAGCTGTCGCCAGTCAGACCAGGAAAGCAGGAGAACTGACATTTTCAATGAGCTCTTTCTTCTTCCAGCACCCTTTTCAAGTTCTTCCTGTCAAAGTAGTGTGTTTGGGTGATTTTTTTTTCCCTTCTTCCACAGGACTAGTTTTAATAGATATATTCCTTATAAAGAATGTTGAGCAGAGGCCCTCCCAGGCTGGTGCCCATTGCACCCCAGCCGTGCCAGAGACCTGCCCGCTCCGCTGCTGCCCTTTGCTCCCCAGCTGCCAACAGCTCCTGCCGCGATGAACTTCGCTTCGTGCAGCTTCTCAGTGGCCTGGGCCACATCACCAGGTGCTGAGAGTGCTGCCTACCCCCAGTGCCAACCTTTGGTGCCCCCCACGCGGTGTTTCCGAGCCGGGTGTAGGGAGAGCGGCGCCGGCGGCTTGGAGCGGTGTCAGCTCCAATGAGCTGCCTGTCAGTCTTGCGGGTGCTGCGTGTCTCACAAGATGCAGGTTAGAAGCTATCTGGAGACCTCAAATGCCAAAGTTTTTGCATGAAATCATGAAAAACTGGCTCTTCTTTGCAGGGCTCTGCCAGTTCATAAGGTGTTTGTTTTTCCTCCAAGAAAAACTTGTTCTTCCGCTGAAGGAAAATGTAAAAGGCTCATTTTCCTGCAAACCTATTTAAATTCAAAAAAAGAAAAAATGCTCATCTCCTTCATTACATGTTTGTTTTGGGAGATCTCTGAAATAAATTCTGAAGTTAGAAAGCTAGAAAAGTCTGTAAAAGCAAATTAATTCAATTAATGCATCCAAGCAGGTATTTTGATTCAGGGGGATTCTATAGTGCTTTATAAACAACTTAAGAGATTTCTTTTTTCAAAGCTGAAAATAGAGCAACGTGTTTAAAACACTGGAGCGTATAGAATTATGGTAAGGGATGCCTTAAAATTCCCGTGGATGCCAGAAAGGTTTTGCTTATGCCAGTCTTCTCAGTCAACTTGCAGAGGAAGTCAGGTGCTAATAATGCAGCAAAGTTCCAAAAACACATGTGTAACTCACTGTGGCTGTACCTAGTGACCCAAGTGAGCCTCTGAACACGCTGTGACAGCTAGTGATATTCAAACTAGATAGTTCAAAGCTCTTCAATGTATGTTTGTATAAAATATATATATATATATATACACACACACACAAGTGCCTTCACGTCTTGATCACATCCTGCTGGAGGAGTTTGTACAGGCTGAGGAAGGAGATATGCTGAAATGTCTATCACAAGAAAGACAGCTGCTAGAAAAATTAACTTTAATGCTAATTATCTGAAACATCTGGTTGGTTAAGTTTATTGCAGTAGAGGACAATTATCAGTTAAATCACTGTCTGGAAGAGACAAGATGCCTGGATTTTTCTTTCTCATCTTTATGTTGTAAGCTTGCACTTATTTCCTTAAAAAAAAATTCCCCAGAATTGCCTGGCTGAAAGAAGGAAGGATGGTCTTTGTATCTTCACTCAAGTACATCAGCAGACCTGTGTTTGCCTTTTGCCAGCTTTCAGCATGCCACTTTCCTGAGAATCTCAGCAGACAGAGAGCTTCAGGAATGAAGAACTGACCTGTCTGGATTTAGTAGCTAATTATTGTTTTACCCAAACATTGTTTCTGGCCTAAATTGAGCTGCCTCTAGCTGCTAATACATGAATACTAATGTTCTTGGACTAGCATTGCCGGCACAGAAAGACCTTATAGCTAGAATAGTCTCTTTTCCTCAGGGCTTAATAGTTTTGCCATGACAATGCTCAGCTACTTCCCCAATCACATCAAGCATTAGCAACGTTTTACCCCACAATAATTTATTTTAAGTGTCTTGCAGGTACTCACCTTGTTAGGTTTTATAAACACTTGAACATTCGTAGCTGGGAGGCAATGTACTGTCATAGATAAGGCCGGACACTCCAGTCTTTAAAAAGTCAGTTCCCCTGAGACAGTCTAGCTGCATTTTGCCTGCTGGACTTCTTGTTAAGCACCCGTGGGCTTGTATCAACATTCACCTCTGGGTAACCTTCGCAGCTGCAGCTTTCTTGACTGATCGTCATGCCATTTTTTTATTTTAATTCATTGTAGATTTTTTTTCTGTTCATGGTTACTCATTGAATGAAAGACAGCTCTGTATTTCAGTAGCAAAAGTGCAAACTTAAAGAAGGAAATCCAAACTTACCTATTTCTTGGTGTCGATAAGAGGAGTATAGTAAGCAGAGACAAGTACAGGAGGTGATTTCTGTTACACAGGGTTGGACTGTTGGTGCAAACCTCTTCTTCAAGATGGGCAGATGTATCATTAGACACTTCTCTGCAATTGCTATTGGAATTGCAACCCAAAGCCCTCCAGATATATTTTACAGCCGAGGGAGCTAATGTGTGCTTCATCCAGCATAGTTGCACTGGAACAGTAATGGACCTCATTGAACCTACTCTTGTTGGGCACGCAGCAGCGGAGAGCAAGGATGGGAGTTAAGAGAAGATGATGGTTTCACAGGAGACGTAATAACAGCTACAAAAGAAGTGTTGCAACCACAAGTATTATTTTCTCTTTCCAAAGCTGTTCACTACACTTCTCCTGGCATTTCTGAGTGTTTTCTCCAGGGCTACTGCACCTTTCTCTCCTCTCCATTACACTGCTGTACACCAAGAGCAGCTGCTGGAGTTTGATACTCACACAAATGTCTGCATCCTCACCCTTCCCTGTGGCAATGGTTTTCTGACAGGTATTTGTGTAGTGCCACATTAGGGCTTCTCATTTGCTCTATGGCCCTGGGCCACGACCTAGCTGCAAATCGCTGTTAATATGGTCTAATTGCAAGGCTGAGGGGGGAATGTCAACTTGAGAGCCACCTTGGAGGCACACGGGCTGCAGTCTACCATGTGGACACTTGTTCTGCCCTTTCATCTGACAGAGCAGAGGCATTCACCTGGCAGGTGGGATATCTAGTGCTGCGTTAGGCACTGGAAAAGAACCTCCCGAGAAGTCTGAATTCAGCTGAATACAAAACTATAGTAAAATTAAAAACCAGGCACCTCGGAACTCACTCAGACTGCACCCATCTGGGTTTCTTTCCAGGACAATGCAGCCACGCTGAGGCCGATTTTCATTTGCTTTAAGACATTTGGATGAAAAGGAAAGCTCCCACGCTGCCAAATGGATTTACACATAGCATAAATCTTGTCTGTTCAGCACCAGCTCAGAATCCCTGGCAGGTGCAATTGTCTGAGGGACAGCTTTCATATTCAGGAAATAAGAGATAACTTCAGATATGTTCAAAGAGCAGGGAAGAATGCATAAATAAATAAGAAACCCCAGGATGACCAAAAGGTTGTTCCTCAGGAGGTCTTTGAAAATTCTGTATTCTCTTTTCTGTTTCTGTGATGCAAAACTCTCTGGGTCAACTGGTGCTGGAAGGTGGTGGTAGGAAAGGATTTCAATGGTCTACCAGCATAGTATACTAGTAGTATGAGCAAGTCATGGGTTTTGTTAAAGGCATACACATAAGGCAAGTGCAAACAGCAATAAGAAGGGATAAGGAAGACTAAGACTGTGATAGCATGTGGTGAATCAGCAGCCTTCATTTCCAAGATACCATGATACAAACACTTTGAATGCAGTTTCTTTCCATAAACACTTCTGACTTTACTGCCTTGCTATTTTGAGTCCTGCTGGAGACTTGGACTCATTAAAAAGGCATTTCCTTCAGACAGGCTGATTAGATAGCCTGTTCCTTCCCCCACATGATGAAAGGCTGGAGAACACCTCAGTGAAGCTAAAAAAATGCAGAAAATTAAGACCTATTAGTCTAACAAGAAAATTCAGGCTCACCTTGAAATCTCCCACTAAAAAAACAGTTAAAAATAGATTCATAAATTTAAGAATTGGATGGCCTGTCTACATTCTACATTGTATATGCCTAACTCTTAACCTCTAATTATGTTTTTTTTTCCAAATAAATGAGAC